TTATTATTATATTATTATTATTATGGTGATGATGGTCTTTGAACTTGGAAGCGAAATGTCCCAGTTGTCTCAGTGCCTCTTAAAGATGCTGTTGCTTGCCCCGAGAAACCTGTACAGTTTTTTCCTCAAAAAATGAATGAATAAGAAAATACCTGTAATTCGTGTACCTCGTTTGACCTGAAGTGTGTCGATGGTAACGTAAAACATCTCCTCACTTCACCTAACTGGCGCTCATGTGACCTTATGTAGTTGCGAGCGCCATAAAACCTCTACTAAAACACACAAACTTAATCTAACCAATCCCCCCCCCTCTCCAGTCCCCAGACTTCAGCGACAAGAACGTATTTGGGATCCCCCTCAGTGTGATGGCCCAGAGGACCGGCCAGCCCCTGCCTCAGTGTGTGCTCTACGCCATGAGGTATCTCCGCAGGACCGCTCAGAGGTCTGTGGGCATCTTCCGGAAGTCGGGAGTCAAGTCGAAGATACAGCAACTGAGGGATCATTTAGAGTCACATCCAGGTTTGTGCTGGTGGTTGGGGACAGGCGTATAAAAATATTGAGATGACCAGTGAGCACATAAATTTGATCTTCGAGTTGGGCGTGATGTTTCTGATCTTCCAAATAAGCTTCAGTTTTGACAGCGCAGCTGTTGTTTGAGCGATTCTTCTCTTCATCTGAGATGACTAATGACTATACTTTTGCTAAGGTCGTTTGTTATTTGTGAAGACAAACAGTAATGATGGTTTGCAGGCGATCTGTCTAGTGTGGTTTGCTCCTTCTTTCCTACCAAACATCTATCGTCATTATCCTCCCTTCTTTTTCTGTGTGTGACTCTATCATAACGCCTCGGCACAGCTTCCAGAGATGTTCCTTTGTTGTTTCTGCCTCTCTGTCGTGCCTTTCTTTACATTCAATGACCAATATTGTGTCCGTGTGCCTCGTTTTGGGTTTGGTTGTTTTTTTCAAACCAATCCACATTTTTTTACGTGGTAGGTTTGAGGGCGCTACTGGTATGCCTGACTTCTTTTCGTGACCAATGTCGTGTTGTGTGTTGTTGTTGTTGTGGCTGTTGGTTTTTTATCTTCAAATCTCATACAAATCCCAAGTGTTTGACTTGTGTTACCTCACAGCGATGTCGCCGAAAAAAAAATCTGTTACCGTTCTTGTTTCTGACCTTCTGCGTGCATTTGTTTACACCACACTGCTCTGGGGTGGTTTGCTTCTTTTTTCTTATGAAACATCCATCGTCCTGATCTCTCCTACTTCTTTTTTATGTTCGTTAATCTGTTGTAACACCTCTAGTCTTCGGCACTTATATGACCTTGTTGTGTTGCAAGTGCCGTGAAACTCTTACTTTGAAACAAGAACTAAATGTTCTAGTGCGTGTTTGTGAAAACTGTTAAGTGAGGGATTGATGGACCATGTTCTCTTGTTTTGTCAGCCCAGGGAGTCGAAAGAATTTTTGTGGGTGGTTGGCGGGTGCTCTGGTGTGGTTTGCTCCTTTTCTTTCAAACATCTATCGTCCTTATCTCTCCTCCTTTTTTTGTGTTTGTTACTCTCTTGTAACCCCTCTAATCTTCGGCACTTATATGACCTTATTGTATTGCTAGTGTCGCTTCTACTGAAACTAAAGCACCCCATGGCCAATTATGATCACAAATATTTGACGTGTGTTGCCTTACAGCGAGGGTCGCCGCAAAAAGATCCGCTGGCACAGCTTCCAGAGATGTCACCGGCCCGACGTGACCAGCCGAGCCATGCAGATCAACAGCTTGACCATTGGTCAGCTGGTCCGTCTGCAGAAACTGTCTCTGCTGAAACTGACCAGCATCATGGAGAAGTGTCTGCCCGTGAACAAGTCGGGATGGAACTGGATGATGCCGCGCTTCATGAAGAGACATAAGGTATAAGGCTGCTTTTTTATTA